TCACTGCCGAAAAATTCGGGCCCTGACTGTGGGTCCTTGTTGTTCGTCGTTCGGACGTCCGAGGAAATGATACTCGATTCCATTTTCGTCGCACGGCCATTAATTACGTTCTAAGAGCGCAGGGTGACAGCGGGTCGGACACAGTTTACGTCTCGGCATATCTTGTTTATTTCATTTGGCGTTACCCTGCGCTTCGAAGGAAATGGTATCGGGGGTTATTTTCTCGGACGGCCGAAAGACGAACGACAAGGGCCCACGGTCGAGGCCTCGATTTTTTGGCAGTGAAACGTCGACTGCCGAACGAACACGTCGAATAAACGATTATCCGCGAACGTGTCGTATAAACGATTATCTGCAAACGCATCTCAGTCATCTTTCGTAATATCCACAAATGTTTCGGATTATCAGTGATTAATTAAGTGATCAGTGTTTGGTGACAGTGCAGTGAAAGATCAGCTGTACGTTGTACAAGGTCAGTGCCCTTCGACATCGTGAATTTCAGCCAGCAAATGTATCCTCAACTAAATGGGTCAGTTTCTTACTGATAATATTTTTCATATCTCTCTAATAAACAAATCCTTTACGTCCCTTATTTATTATTAAATCAGCTTTGCAATCAGCGTTAAGTCCGCTTATCTCTGGAAATGAGTCACGCGGTGCAAACACATTTTTCTTCATAAATAAATTATAAATAGCAGCACTTATATTGATCACGGAATGACTAAACAAAATAAAAAAAATTCTTAAAAAAGAAGAATGAGAATACAAGAAATTAAATAAAATAGTTCAATATCAATATTAAATTTTGTTATTTAATTATAATAAAAACTGTGCTTTTCATTACCATTGTTATTTTCTTTATATCGTGATTGTATAAAGATCGGACGATTATTTGCGAGACGACCAAATACTTGTTAATCTTTTTACAAAAATTTTTATCTAATCGCTCAACTTTCCTAGGGTCTTAAAATTTTGCACGTGCCGCAAATGCAGAAAGTAATTCGCAACACTATAATAACACAGGAATTCCACTATAAACGAGCATCGATGGACTGACTTGTGGCACGCACAGTATCGTTCGATTCTGTTGCAGATTTTTCATCGGTCGAACATTCTCGGTTCAGAAATGGCGGCATTCAATAAGGAAACAATTTCGCTTCCGTGTCCATGTTTCAAACACAAAGGTGAATTACGAGAAAACGCTTGACGGACGAAAACACACACGCGCCAGCAGAATGTTGGTTAATAAGGATAGAGAAGTCGGTATGGTATGACGCAGGTATCGAGGACATTCTCGAGCCGCTATTAAAACTTATAGGAAAACGACATTGCTCAATCGGCCGTTTCCGAACGATCCTGAAAAATCTCGAAGGTTCGTTTGTCCGTTCTGGGTTTCCCTCTCGTTCTGTCGCTGGACGCGCGAGCGAACACGCGCAGTTGATAGATTGCGCAATGGAAAACGGTGGCAGGAAATTGACTATCCTGCAGAGAACCGATTAATTATTTTGCCGAGCGCGCGCGCGCGAGCGATCGACTGCACGCCACGGATATGCACAATTTTTTCGTCTCTTTCCGTCGATCCGTCGGCCTCTGGTATCAATTTGCTTAATCAACGGATTGGGCAATCGATCGACCAGATGCGTCCGTTTTGCCGTAGCGCGACTCATTACCGATGATTGTACGCGGCTACACGACAAAACGTGCACGATAGAACTCGACGCGATGGGAATTTTAATGTGGAAATGGATACACGATCGTTTTCTGCGCGACGAGCCGCAGAACGATCGAACAGACTGATACAAGAGATCATGGATGGAAGCGTGGTTTTTAGACACATACATATGCATGTTCGCGGTATAGTATAATAGTATATATATATAATAGTATATAATATAATAGTATAATAGTATATAATAGTATATAATATAATAGTATAATAGTATATTATAATAGTATATAATATAATAGTATAATAGTATATTATAATAGTATAATAGTATATATAGTATAATATACGCGGTCCGCGTAAAAGTATGACAATATCGCATAAATTGTAGACATTTTTCTAACGCGTGATTGTTCGAAGGTTTCCGAATAACAACTGCTTGCCGTGAAAGATCGTTCGAAGGAATATACAGGGTGTCCCGAAATTATGGTATTTCCGAGAAATGAGGGATTCTTGAGGTGATTTGAAGCAACTTTTCCCTTTGCGAAAATGTTCTCCGAGGCACCGTTTATGAGTTATTAACAAAAAATGCCGAACCAATGAGAGGCGAGCTCGGCCGGCGCAAGATAGCCGAGCCAATCAGCGGAACCAAGCGTCGTACGCTCCTTGGCTCGGCTGGCGCGACGCGGCCGAGCCAATGAGCCGAACAGGGCTCCGAGCGCTCGTTGGCTAGGCCGAGCTCGTCTCTCATTGGTCACTGTTTGCCGTTAATAATTCGCAAACAAAGCCACGTATTGCAATGTCGTCGAGGAAAAAGTTACTTCAAATCACCTGAGGGACCCCTCATTTCCCGGAAACACCATAATTTCGGGACACCCTGTATTTTTATATAACTTCCTACAATCGCTTCGAAATAAAAGACGAAAATTTCCATTGCCGCGTTTCACGGAATACTGGATTCCTCCGAAATACGTATGTACTAACCGCGAAACACGTAACGATAACATTCTTACGATTTTATCGCGACAAAAATTTGCCGAATGGATTAGCGAGCATTAAGCGTCCGAACCGCGAGAAGCCGCGGAATAATATCCGGATATACGCGGAGCATGCGAATTACGAACGTAAATGAAGAACGTGGTACGCCGCAAAAAAAGCGTCGATACCGGGTTAAAAACGGGTTAAAGAGAAGAACAAACACGTGTATCCGTGAAAAATCGGATTGTGATAAGTTGCGAGGCACGTAACGAGAAGCGAGCCGCGACTCGAAGCTTATTCATTGCTCGAGAAACGTGTATGTATAAGCGATTCCGCGATAGCAGAGACACCGCGCGTTTCACCCCAATGCACACTCGATCTGCGATACGTTCGTGCACGTAACGCGATTGCGGAGTCCGAGCCAGGCATCTTCGATCACGTAGCGCGGAACAACGCGAAAGTTTACGTAACCTCGCGCGGCTAAAAATCGCCGGAAATCCGGCGAATCGAATCGCCGGAGAGGTCGCCGAGCCGCCGTCTTCCGATCGAATCGACGATAAACCGGCGATCGAGCTCGATCATCGGCCGGATACACCTGAAAACCAATTATATCGAAGGAAAACGATCGATCGAAGAAACGGTGGCCGATAGGAACGTATTTCGAGACGAACATCTTTCGTCGCAGAATTGACACATCGTCGGGATTGTTGTTGATCGACTGATTGTTGTTTTTGTTAATCGAATTTGCATTCGGTGACTCAACGTTCGCGAGAGAAATTATAAACTTCTGCGTACTTATGGTAGAACCTTGATTATCTGAATTTAACCTCGGAGGAACGTGGGAACTCGGATAACAGGACAATTAGTTGCAAGGTTAGATTAAATCTGTACAATAATAAATCATAGAAACGCGAGAATGTAAAACGTGGTCGAATAATAGAGTGTTCGGGCGAAAAGAAAAAACATGATATCATCTTTGCCTATGAAGTTAACCTAACACCGTAAGCGCCGACAATCAATCGCTAAAATTCTCACAACGTCAAGGTTATGTTATCGATTCAAAACAATCGAATTAATGAAACCGAAACTAGAAAGTTAAAATTTATCATAGCGGATGACAATAAAACTTTTTCGTATCCGAGGCATTCTAATTAAATCGTGTTTGTTCGGATATATTACAAAGAAAATGGATGTTCAAAATTGGTCAATAATTAATGTCACTCGTACATGGACGACGCGGCGCACAACGCGTTAACGAACTCTTCTCGATCATGCAGCAACTTCGAAGAAGTTTCAACCGAATGCTCGAATATTTCATTTCAGATCACACTCGTCCATTGATTGTTTTCAATCATCCACTGCACTCCTTCAAACAGGATTCAAAGCGTATTACACACATAACACAATTTATTGATTATAGTCCGAACAGATTTCACATATTCGTTTAAGAAATTGCGGTTGTCTTATTTTTGGCGACGGCTGAAATGACTGAGTTACGGAGGAAAGGAGGGGAGAGCGTTTCACCCGGAACCCGCTAGAAGACTCATCGGTAAGGTTATACTAGCGGGCCCTTGCCTCAGACGTTGGGCTGTCGGAAGGACGGACGAAGTCTGTATACAGGGTGTCCCAAAAATGTCTCGCAATCCGAGAATGGGAGGTTCTTGAGGTAATTTGAAGTAAGTTTATCCTTGGCGAAAATGCAATCCATGGCTTTGTTTACGAGTTATCAACGAAAAAGAGTGACCAATGAGAGGTGAGATATGCTAGCGCAAGGCCGCCGAGCCAATGAGCGGAACTGAGCTTCGTACGCTCATTGGCTCAGCCGCCAAGCGCTGGACGAGCTCGCCTCTCATTGGTCAGTGTTTTTCGTTAATAATTCGTAAACGAAGCCACGGGTTGCATTTTCGCTAAGGAAAAAGTTACTTCAAGTGATCCCAGGAACTTCTCATTTCCGGTTTGCGAGACATTTTTGGGACACCCTGTATAAACAAATTGAGGCGGATCGATTACTTGCGGGAAAGGAGGATTCATCTGGACGTAACCGTCACAGATGATTACCTTGCTTGAGAACTTCGATTACTCTTAACCTTAAATCGTTTGAATACAACTTATACACGATGGCATATTGCACACGTCCGTTTTACTTATCAACTGACTGAAATATTTTGTATTTCAGGTGCCTCGACGGTAAAATCGTTTGTTTACATTTTCGCAGGCGCGATTTGTGTTTACGATTGAGACATTCATAGAGCTAGTTATTTGAACCACAATCGGAAACTTTTTTTACGCGTAACATTTTGTTTTCTCCGTGGTTTCTGTTCCATAATAAATATGAAAAANCGACGCGGCGCACAACGCGTTAACGAACTCTTCTCGATCATGCAGCAACTTCGAAGAAGTTTCAACCGAATGCTCGAATATTTCATTTCAGATCACACTCGTCCATTGATTGTTTTCAATCATCCACTGCACTCCTTCAAACAGGATTCAAAGCGTATTACACACATAACACAATTTATTGATTATAGTCCGAACAGATTTCACATATTCGTTTAAGAAATTGCGGTTGTCTTATTTTTGGCGACGGCTGAAATGACTGAGTTACGGAGGAAAGGAGGGGAGAGCGTTTCACCCGGAACCCGCTAGAAGACTCATCGGTAAGGTTATACTAGCGGGCCCTTGCCTCAGACGTTGGGCTGTCGGAAGGACGGACGAAGTCTGTATACAGGGTGTCCCAAAAATGTCTCGCAATCCGAGAATGGGAGGTTCTTGAGGTAATTTGAAGTAAGTTTATCCTTGGCGAAAATGCAATCCATGGCTTTGTTTACGAGTTATCAACGAAAAAGAGTGACCAATGAGAGGTGAGATATGCTAGCGCAAGGCCGCCGAGCCAATGAGCGGAACTGAGCTTCGTACGCTCATTGGCTCAGCCGCCAAGCGCTGGACGAGCTCGCCTCTCATTGGTCAGTGTTTTTCGTTAATAATTCGTAAACGAAGCCACGGGTTGCATTTTCGCTAAGGAAAAAGTTACTTCAAGTGATCCCAGGAACTTCTCATTTCCGGTTTGCGAGACATTTTTGGGACACCCTGTATAAACAAATTGAGGCGGATCGATTACTTGCGGGAAAGGAGGATTCATCTGGACGTAACCGTCACAGATGATTACCTTGCTTGAGAACTTCGATTACTCTTAACCTTAAATCGTTTGAATACAACTTATACACGATGGCATATTGCACACGTCCGTTTTACTTATCAACTGACTGAAATATTTTGTATTTCAGGTGCCTCGACGGTAAAATCGTTTGTTTACATTTTCGCAGGCGCGATTTGTGTTTACGATTGAGACATTCATAGAGCTAGTTATTTGAACCACAATCGGAAACTTTTTTTACGCGTAACATTTTGTTTTCTCCGTGGTTTCTGTTCCATAATAAATATGAAAAATTGCGTTGTTTAGTATTTATTTATTCAGTAATTAGTACTTATTTAGTAATTTTTTATACGTGCATATGACCGGAAACATTTTGCCAGAGGTTATTATTATTATAGCGAATGCAAAATAATATGCAAGATAACAAATTGTCTGCATTTGTTGCAAGAATTAGAAATCGCTTAGAATGTTTCTCTTTATTCTTTATTACTTAGAATAGGTTGAAAGAGTATCGATACTTTCAATTTTGATGGTCTTTCCTTTCCTTGACAGTAAATCTACCGACCATTAAAAATGTCTGACGTGTGTTGCGTTATAAGAATTACGAGACCGAATGCACAATGGCGTGCATAATTATGGAGTCNTCCTTTCCTTGACAGTAAATCTACCGACCATTAAAAATGTCTGACGTGTGTTGCGTTATAAGAATTACGAGACCGAATGCACAATGGCGTGCATAATTATGGAGTCAAAGTATCTTTTACATTCTTACTGGTATCAAAACGAAAACTTAATAAAACATCATATTTGTATGTTTCTATTTTGTATTATNTTCTATTATAGAAATATACAAATACGATGTTTTTGTATTACTTCTAATATAGAAATATACAAATACGATATTTTTATATCGCTTCTAATATAAAAATGATTTTGTATTACTTTTAATATAGAAATGATTTTGTATTACATACTTCTAATATAGAAAAATACAAATATGATATTTTGTTAAGTTCTCTTTAAATATACANTATAGAAATATACAAATACGATGTTTTTGTATTACTTCTAATATAGAAATATACAAATACGATATTTTTATATCGCTTCTAATATAAAAATGATTTTGTATTACTTTTAATATAGAAATGATTTTGTATTACATACTTCTAATATAGAAAAATACAAATATGATATTTTGTTAAGTTCTCTTTAAATATACAGGTTGTCTCAGCTAAAGAAGGTCACCTATACAGTGCTGTGAATAGTTATAAACTAAAAAATCAACTTCTACATTTTTACTGATATTTCAACGAAACCAAAAAAAAAACTATATATTTCTATGTTTCTATTTTTCTATTACTTGTCGGCGGGTTTGGAGGTAGCCGTCAAGTATTATTTGTTCAACCTTGCACCAATCGATTCTAAATCTCTGCGTTCTTTGATTTTTATAACTAATGTGTAACTAACCGTTCAAATTCAATACAATAAGGAATTTTCTGATCGATAAAATAAACTTGTTTTCTATGTTGGATTTAATAAAATGGAATGTACGAAACCGAGCATTTGTATGGGAATCTGCAGACTCATTAGTTGATTGTGAATTTTACGCATTTGTAGTAAGAACGAGTGGGTGGAACATAAAGCAGCGGCGTCGAGAGAAATGTTGATTGCGCTGTCACCCACAATTAGATGGCGTAATCATTTACACAAATCTCGAAGTTAATTTCTATGCTGATGGATTCAACGGATCAAATCTGTTTCACGATGAAATGGAAGAGAATCGAAAGGGTAATTGAGATATTGTTAAGATATTATATATTATATATATAATATTATATAATATAATATATATTTATAATACATATAATATAATATATAATAATATATATATATAATATAATATATATAATAATATATAATACGGTCTTTCAGGCATCTCCTCGAAGAAGAAAATTCTGCCGAATTGTTCCACTTTCTATTGCATCTCGGCACAGCAAAAGCGAAGGTGTTTAAATCGATCTTGTTAGAGGAATTAGAGCAGCCTAACAGATAAGATACGAGAGTGCAACGACGCCACGCATCGATATTCTCCAAGAATTCTCACTTGCAAGAAATGCGCGTCACTCAAGAGCTATTCGAAGTCGTTGTTTCACTTAGTCGTGCAATTCCCTGCTACACTGTCCGACAAAATCAAACTTTTTTTCTGGGTTCCTATAGCCACTATGAAATTCTTGTAGAGCTTCACTCCCTGAACAAGAATCCGAAAACCGAATTGCTCCATCTCCCTCAGTTTTTTAACTAAACGAACTTTTGTAAAAACCCAAAATTTTCGACAAAAATGAGGTATTGCATGAAAAGTACAAACGTTAGAAAGTTCTAATTGGTGTTAAAAGATAGAGGAGAGTTTCCCGAATATAGTGGCATGCAATTTATTAATTGTTTCTGGTCCTAAATAGCAATAAATTAATGTCAAAGTTTAAAAAAGTGTCGACGTGAGCAGTTTCTGCGCAATATTTTTGTATTTTTACGAAAAGTTTTTTGTTCAGCACGAAAACTCTACCCAGGATCGGATTCTGTAGACATTTCTGAAGAAGAAACGGCCCGATAGAAGTGTCGGAACGATGTACATTTTGAGTAGGTCGAGAAAATGTTCGTCGGCAACATGTACACGATGTTTTGCCGCCATGTGCTTCGCTGCTCGCTTCTCTCTGTCCGACAGGGCCGAAGCTATGGGTAATCAACACCGATGGAGGGATCCAATGGGGCACCCACTTAGCGTGTGGGGCGTGCCATTTTTTTTAGTACTTCAATGTGCTGTCTTCTTTTACATATTTTTATGGATAATAATCACCAAACTGTGAATCATAAATTAAAAATGGAGAAATAATAAAAGAAAAATAATGAACAAAAAATATTCATTTTATTCTGAATTTGTTCGAATTACAAGTATATCATGTATACAGTTATCATTTAAATTATAACGATAATACGATCATGAATAAATAATCATTTTCAAAACGTTAAACTTCTTGAAACATATCGTTAAATATATATTTAAATATTTATTTAATTATATGGCGTAGAAGTCAAAATTATACTAGTGTTAGAATACTTTCGTTACCAACTCCAAATACTCTGGTGTGATTTTTTGTGTGAAATATATCACAGTTTGGTGATTATTATCCACAGAAATATGTAAAAAAGAAACAGAACATTGAAGTACTAAAAAAAATTCAAATATTATTTACGAAAAGTGGGTGCCCCATTGGATCCCTCCATCGGTGTTGATTACGCGTAGCTTCGGCCCTGTCGGACAGAGAGAAGCGAGCAGCGAAGCTCATGGCGGCAAAACGTCGTGTACATGTTGCCGTCGAACATTTTCTCGATCTACTCGAAATGTATATCGTTCCGACACTTTTACCGGGCCGTTTCTTCTTCAGAAATGTCTACAGAATCCGATCCTGGGTAGAGTTTTCGTGCCGAACAAAAAACTTTTCGTAAAAATACAAAAATATTTCGGAGAAACTGCGCACGTCGACACTTTTTTAAACTTTGACATCAATTCATTGCTATTTAGGACCAAAAACAATTAATAAATTGCATGCCACTATATTCGGGAAACTCTCCTCTATCTTTTAACACCAATTAGAACTTTCTAACATTTGTACTTTTCATGCAATACCTCATTTTTGTCGAAAATTTTGGGTTTTTACAAAAGTTCGTTTAGTTAAAAAACTGAGGGAGATGGAGCAATTCGATTTTCGGATTCTTGTTCAGGGAGTGAAGCTCTACAAGAATTTCATAGTGGCTATAGGAACCCAAAAATCGTGTCGGACAGTGCTATCCTTCGAATTAAGGCCAGTGACGCGCCGTTCTACAAAGGAGGAACTTCCGGTGATTAACGTTGTAATTGTTACATCCCAGAACGTTTCTCGGTGATACATAGACGAACGGGAGAACGCAGTTTTACCTGATAAACCAACGAAAAAACTGTCACGTTTAACGGGAGAAGCATCGTTAAATCGACGTTGACGCAACAAACGCGCCTAAAAAGTCGTTTTCTCAATGATAATCGACTTGATTAGGTTGCTGACGATTCGCGACAGAAATTGATGTGCAAAAATTTATTCGACTATCTTCGGCTGTGATTTCTAAGAATTTAGAACAAATATTATGGATTTCAAGAAATTATTATGATTCCGGCATTGCGGATTCAACGGTACGTGATCATAAAAATTTGAAATCGTGTATTTTGTGAAAGAAAAATTCAAATTCACCAATTGTCATTTTTCTGCAAAATTGATGTCGTACAACGTACGACTAGAAAAATTAAATCCTCCGACGCGGATGAAAAAAAATTGTGCGCGTCGGTTATGCGACATGCGAGCGATTACGAATAAAGTGTACTTACATAAAATTTCATTGAACGACGAGTCAATTTGCATGCTCGCGATAAACACGTAATAGTTATTATTGAGGAATAAACGATCCTTGTGCCGGTATCGTTGAAGAATAGTCGCGAGACGCGCTTCGATTCGCGGCACCCTTAACCGTTTGCACTCGAGTGGTGACTCTGAGGCACCGCTAAAATTATTAATTCACGTTCCAAGATAATTTTTATATTATTAGATAATATTTATATTTAATAATATTAAATAATATTATTAATAAATAATATTATAAATTAATTTTATATTATTAAAGCTTGTTAAAAGTATAACTGTCATCACAAGTCATCGCAGGTCTCAATTTCATACGCATAAAATGCACTTTGTCGTGTAAAATGTAAATACCATAAGTCAGAAAAATTATTTTACATTTACAGTTAAAACGGCTTCGAGTGCAAAGGGTTAAAAACGACGTTTATCGCTTTCTTTCTGCTGCGAGATACGCGGCCTTCTGCGTTCGCCGGCAGCCTTACCGAATTCCGCGAAAAGATGAACAAAAAAAAATTATCGCGTCACCTCTGCGCGCGCGCGTTTTATCGTTCGCCGTATGAGTCACCCGAGGCTCCGCCGAGCGCTCACCTTCGAGCGACGCTAATCTCGCAGCAACGCCGAAACGAGAAAAAAAATTGACTTTTCTAATTACTCTAATAACCTTGAGGACGTAGCACACGATTCGCAAGCATCCGAGGAGTAAAACATCCGCGCGCAGAAAAATACTTTGTTATTGGAGCCGTTTATTTTGAAAGTGGCATAAGTCACTTTACCGTAATGAAAAGTGGTGATATTTTTAATGTTTATAAGAAATTATTTATACTGAGAAAAATATAATATATATAATATATAAATATTATAATATTACTGTATTATAATATATAATACTACTATATTACTATAATATATAATATATATAATATATATTATAATACAAGTAAATCTTCTCGAAAGTTAGCATCCATATTTTTAAACGTGTTAAAACGCAAACCCTTAAATATATCGACTTAAGAACAAAGTGACCGACTTAAAAACAAAGTGACTTATGCCACTTTCAAAATTTTATATTGTTTATATTGTCATTATATGTCATTTATATTGTTGGTTAGCTTGATTGTGTATGCCTCGAAAAGTTGTTGCGATGATTTTTATTTCATGCAAATGTATATCATGTTACGCGTAAGCTTCCACCGATGTCTGGTAATACTAATTGAAACTCTGCTTCCTGTCACGATTTATCGTACAATTTTCGTACGACTTCCGAGAATCTTTTGGTACAATATTTTCGACATCGAAAGTTTAGCAGACTTTTTGAGATTCGACGGGATTTTCGTAAAATCTCGGTTTAAGTGCTTTGATCAATTTTTTTATAATCGAAAACGATCCAAATTTTGGTGGAACGTTAGAGGAATTAATTTACTAGACAATATTTTAAAACGTTTGGATCGATTTGGATGATAAAAATTAAAGAATAGTCGAGAGATTTCTTCTTTATCGGCCGAATAAAGTTTTCAGTATACAATATAAAAGTTGAACGAAAATGCATTATTTGAATTTTTCGTTCCAGACTTTGATGAAATAAGTTAGAAGAAACACGATTTTTTAATTGTTCTAGTAAATTAATTCCTCTAATATCTCGCAAAGATTTAGACCGCTTGGTCCAATTATAAAAAAGTTAAAATTTTGTCGACCGACTAAAAACTTTGTCGACCCACTTTGGAGTGCGTCTAAAATATAATTTAAATTTTATATTAGTCTAAATTTAAAAAAAAATTAAAATAAATAATGTATTATGATTATATTAAATTATATTAAAAAATAATGATTAAATAAAAGATATCAAAGAAATAAATTATCAAAATTAAATTAAGTAAATTAAAAAATAAGTTAAAATTAAGAAGTACACACGGTATCAATTAAATTTCAATGAAAGAACCTTAATAGATTATATCAAGGTAAAATTAAAATTAATCAGTACTATAAAAAAAAACAAAAATAATTAAATTACAGAAGGATGATGAAGTCTAGAATTGTTAATCGGAATTTAATAATAATTAAAAATGGCTTTTATTATTGAAAAATATTAACGAATTAAAAATAATAATGTATAATACAGCACAGGGGCCTGACAATTCTCATGGCAACGTTCGAGGTCGCCGGAACCGTGATTCCCCTTGATCCGTGACGCGATCGAACGTATAACATGCGAACGGAGCTCGATAAGAGATCAAATTTCTATCTGCACCGATGTGCAGCGCGAGGCTAAGAATGCAGCGAAAACGCCGCGCTAAAACTCGACCATCTTTTACATATCATTGTTATATTTTATCCGCATACACACAACTTACTTGCGTCCTTCGGTTTGAACGACACAAGGCGGCCGAGTTATCTTAACAATATGCAGCTATCATTCCGTCGTTTCGACTAAACGGAATATAGAAAAGATATTCAGCACCCATACGGTCGGGTGAAACCTCAATGGATTGCTTATTTGCGCGCCCAATAATTAGTGGAGTGTGTATATTCAAAAGTTAAGAAAGTACAGTCTCGCGGAGTAAATGTACCGCACCTTCCAGGGGAAACTTAATGGGACCTGGTCGCTGATATCTTCTACCAATCGAAAATACCATTTTCTCGTGGCCGATTTCTTCGATCCTATTTCCAAATCTACTGGAAACACGCGTTTATTATTGGCTTGGCAAGAAAGTAATTTCGGTTCGCACCGATAGATAGCGTTACGTTTCCATTGTCATTCTCTTGTTACAGTTATAAAGGTGGAATCTTGTTTCTGTTTCATTG